TAAAGAGTACATTAAGAAAAAAAGGTATTTCTATAAAATATACGGAATATAATTTCTATGTGACTTACAGTAGGTAGTAAATATATTTACCATGAAAAAATAATATTTACCTATTTAACCTATTATAGTTTGTTTCTCTATACTTGCTGGCTTCAGACCATGTCCAGAAGAATTTGAGGAGGTTTATGAAGAAATGAATGGTACTTTAGGTAAATGCTCTAATTCTAAAACTATTACATAACATATAACAACTTTAATTTTGATTATTTGTCAAAGTGCATTGTATCAAAAATCACCAAATCGTGACAAAATTATATGATGCGTATCATATAAAACCGAACTGATTTCTGCTATTTTGCTAGCCAAAGTGCTCAGGTGAGCAGTGTGACAGGCCCAATGGCTTTTTGGATTTATATCTGTAAAAAAAAATAATCATCAATGGTATGATAAAAACTCCCTCTCACGTAATACAACACCCTGTGTGTGGATCACGTGACAGGACAGCTGAAACGAGTATATCAAATTCTGAATCATTGATTAGTTCTTCATCGTTTCATTGATGGAAGATCAACTTTTCAAGAAAAAATAATGTACATGAGAATTGATTTTTGATTTGTAGGCCGCCTTGAGGGACCGTTGGCTGCTTCTTATCTAAAACATGATGAGAAAACTGTCCAGATACAAAGAATGACACAGGAGATTGACCAGATACAAAGAATGACACAGGAGATGGACCAGATGCCATTACTACTGCAGAGAAACCAATATCTTTTTGAAAAGGCTGCACTGAACTCAGAAAAGGCTGCACTGAACTCAGAAAAGGCTGCACTGAACTCAGAAAATGCTGCACTGAACTCAGAAAATGCAAGACTGAAAACACTGCTTTTCAGAACATATGTTTTCTGACTCCAAATTAAAACACAAATAAGACTTTTTTAACAGTAGATCATAATTTTAAGGTAAGAATCTTCTCTGGTTTCTGACTAGATGAAATATTCAAAGTACATACGCGTATATGTATTATTTAATTGGGTGTAGGAAATTTAAAAGACCATATTTTACTTTCCTCATCACAATTGTACAACTTTGAAATTGTAAACCGCGTTTGAAAACAATATATTGAGGATTTTCAATCTGAGAACATTATAATATGTGGTGATTTTAATCTAGTATTGAAACCTGAATTAGATTGTTTTAATTATAAAAACGTGAATAACCCAAATGCAAGACAAAAGATTATTGAACTCATTGAAGATAATAACTATGTAGATGTATATAGAGAATTTCATCCGGATACCTTAAGATATACTTGGAGGAAGAAATCTCCATTGAAACAAAGCAGATTAGATTTCTTTCTTATATCAGGAAACTTATTATCCAGTGTCAGAGCAAGCTCCATAGAACCTAGTTATAGGTCTGACCATTCAATGATTAGTCTGAATTTAATTTTTAATGACTTCAAGAAAGGTAAAGGGTTATGGAAGTTCAACAATTCCCTTTTGTATGACGATGAGTTTTTAAAAACAATAAAAACTGTTATAGAAAATGTTAAAAAACAATATGCAGCACCTATTTACAATTTTGAAAATTTTAATCTAATTGACGATAAAGAAATTACTTTTACAATAAATGATCAATTATTTTTGGAGACTCTCCTTATGGAAATTAGGGGTAAATGTATTTCTTACTCATCCTTTAAAAAAAAATCTAGAATAAAAAAAGAAGAAAAGCTCATAGAAGAAATCCAAAATCTTGAGAGATGTGAACCAACTGCATTAGATGTAGATGCACTTGATAGTAAAAAGAAAGAATTAGAAAATATAAGAAAACAAAAAATGGCTGGTGTTTATATTCGGTCTAGAGCAAGATGGATTGAAGAAGGTGAAAAACCAACACAATATTTTTGTAGTTTAGAATCCAGAAATTTCCTCAATAAAATTATCCCAAGAGTAGAATTGGATAACGGAGACACTATTTATAATCAGTTTGATATTTTAAAAGAAACAAAACACTTTTATCAAAAGTTATATCGAAATATCGATGACTCTATACAAAATGTCAATTTGGAGGAGGAAGTTAAATATCCAGACATTGTTAAACTCTCAGAGGAAGAATCCAAATCTATAGAGGGTCATATCACGTTAGAAGAAGCAGGGGAAACATTGTATAAAATGAAGTCTAATAAATCACCAGGCTCAGATGGGTTCACATCAGAATTTTTTAAAATGTTTTGGAAGTTTTTAGGTACTTTTGTAGTAAGGTCAATTAATTATGGTTATTTAACTAATAATCTAAGTATAACACAACGGCATGGTATCATTACATGTCTACCAAAGGGAGACAAACCAAAACAGTTTCTAAAAAACTGGAGACCAATTTCTTTACTGAATACAGTATATAAAATTGCATCTGGTATAATTGCAAATAGAATTAAAAAAACATTTAAACAAAATAATTCATTCTGATCAAACAGGTTTTATAAAAGGTAGAAATATATCAGAAAATATTCGAACCATTTATGATATTATGCAATATACAGAAGAGGAAAATATCCCAGGGCTGCTTCTTCTAATTGACTTTGAGAAGGCTTTCGACTCAATATCCTGGTCATTCATCCAAAAGTCACTTCAATTTTTTAAATTTGGTAGCTCTATTCAGAAGTGGGTAAAATTATTTTACACAAATATTACAGCAGCAGTTAATCAAGGTGGTCATATTTCTGAAACATTCTTCTTACACCGTGGGTGTCGCCAAGGTGATCCACTATCCCCCTATCTATTTTTGATTTGTGCTGAAATATTAGCAATTTTAATTAGGAATAATAAAAATATAAAAGGAATCGAGGTATTAGATAAAGAATATAAGATCACTATGTTAGCAGACGATACGTCTCTTATATTGGATGGTAGTGCACAGTCTCTACAATTAAGTTTAAAAACTTTGAAGTATTTTGCTAAAATATCAGGACTTCACATCAATTACAGTAAAACACAAGTCATATGGATAGGAAGTATGAAACATAGCAATCACATTTTGGATGTAGGTGTAGATTTAGAATGGGGAAAAAGCGCTTTTAGACTACTTGGTATTGATTTTGATGTTGATTTACAGAAAATTGGTGATTTAAATTTTAAACATAAGTTTGAAAAAATTAAAAAAAACTATGATAAACTGGAATCGCAGAAATCTCACACCACTAGGGCGTTTAACAGTGTTGAAAACCCTTCTTCTACCACAATTAAACCACATTTTTGCTTCACTTCCAAATCCTTCTAAAGCTCAGTTAAAGGAATTAGAAAACACCTTTTTTACTTTTGTTATGGGAAAAAATAATTACAGAGTGAAAAAATTAAGATACATAAAAAATTACAAAGATGGTGGTATAAAAATGGTTAGCATCAAGGAATTTATTATGTCTTTAAAACTAATGTGGGTGAAGAAAATTGTGATGCAAAAGAGCAGTATACATTCACTTTTAGACTTAGAGATGAAAAAATTAACATTATGTGGTACAGAATATGTTAGAGGAAAACTGAAATTTATTAAAAATTTGTTTTGGAAAGATGTGTTGGAATCATGGGCATATTTTTTAGATAAAAACTCAGATTCAACATATAATGTAGCTATGGAACCACTTTTTTACAACACTAATTTCATAATAGATAGAAAACCTATTTTTGATAGAAAATGGTTTGAGAATAATATTTATTGTGTTAATGATTTATTGAACGAAGATGGATCCTTTATGAACCTGATTGCTTTTAATAAAACATATGATATGAAAGTTCATTTTCTTGAATATAATGCAGTCTTGGCAGTTGTTAGAGAATGGATGAAAAAAATAAAGAAGCCTTTATCAAAGTTTAGTTACCCACATATATCTCAAGAACTGTTCTCCATATTAAATGTCAAAAAATCAAGAAAATTGTATGAAATCTTAAAAAGTAATCAAGAAGAACCTTTAGGGAAAATTGGATGGAACCGTAGCTTCGATTTGAGTGATGCTGAATGGGAAAATATTTTCTCTCTCCCATTTAAGCTCACACAAAATACAAAACTGCAATGGTTTCAGTTTCGAATAAATCATAAAATCCTAGCTACAAACTTATTTCTACATAAAATTAAAAAAAATGATACTAATATCTGTACCTTCTGTATAAAAGAAATTGAAACTATTGAACATATATTTTGGGAATGTGAAGTAGTGCAGGGCTTACTAGAAGCCTTTTCTACTCTATGTTTTAGCAGAATTCATAAATATATTACATATTCAAAGAAAGATTTTATATTGGGGTCACATGTGAAGTCAGAAAAAGTGAAAACTCTTATTGCTCTCCAAATTAAGTATTTTATTTACAGTATGAGATGTGCCAACAATACTCCTTCTCTGAACGGGTTGATGTCCTCCATAAAAATATTATATGACACTAATAAAATAATAGCAAAGAAAAACAATGAACAAGAAAAATTTGATGAGGCCTGGAAGTATTGGAAGAATTTATTTAATTGATATTTCTCTCTTGCTCTCCCCCTCCCTCCTTTCCCTCCCTTCTTTCCTCCTCTCTCTCTCTCTCTCTTTCTCTTTCTCTCTCTCATTTTTCCTTTTGTAAAACCATGGAAAAAAAATAAAATAAAAAAAAAAAAAAAAAAAAAAAGGTACGATTCTTCTCTGGTTTCTGACTAGATGAAATATTCAAAGTACATACGCGTATATGTATTATTTAATTGGGTGTAGGAAATTTAAAAGACCATATTTTACTTTCCTCATCACAATTGTACAACTTTGAAATTGTAAACCGCGTTTGAAAACAAGCAAGGACTATATTTTTGATGGATTGATAGCGTATGAAAATATCTTTTTTTTCTGTCTAATAGAACTATTATAGCACAATGAATTTAGTTATATTTTTTACACAATCAAAGACGTGAAGAACTTTTCAAATGTAAGTTTAATGGGAGTCATTCGTCATATTTTTGACGTCAGATGTCGCTGGTGTACTAGAGGTGGTTACGTAAACGTTTTAATCAGCGCGGCGCTTGTAACAAAGTAAACAAATCAACGTGTTCTTCGAACTTGAAAGTTGGCGGAGCTAAACCAAGGGGCTGATTCGATCTTTAATCGAGCTGTCACAACCTGGAGAAAGGTTTATCTGAATCTTGGGTAATTATTTTCTGTATAGAATACACATTTATGGAAACTTTCTAAGAAATATCGAGTGTAACATGCCTACATGACGAAGATAGTACAATGACAAAGTGGAAGTATTGTTTACAATCGACATATTTGTGCTTGCACAAACACTATATTCAAATGGAATAAGTATATGGTTTGAATGCTTATGGCTATATTTTGTTATTTTTTCATTTTTACGTGACAATCATCGCACAGCTATAGGTTATGAAGGCCTACACTGGCTTCATACAGTTGCATTTCGTTGTTGTTGTTTTTTTGTTTGTTTTAAAGAACAAAGTCCCAAATGATCATCAAGGTTAAATTTGTACAACGTAATTAATTAATTGCAAGGCAAATACAAGCTAAACATTCTTTTTATTTGAACAAATTACCATAACAAAAGAAAATAAACAAAATTGAAACAAACACAAATACCTGACACATTTCATTCCTCACCAAAAGACTTTCCAGATCCTACACAGAGATACATTAAATGACCATTCATTGATATTGATAAAGATAATCGATTCTTGATCAGCTTGACATTGTTTTTCAAATTCACCGAAAAACAATTTGGAGGCTCGATCCTTTTTATTTTGATGCAAATGGCCTGCATCTCGCAGTGGTTTGTAAGGCCAAAATAAAAAATAGTCTTGTTTCCTGCTACCCGACCTACCCTATTTTTTTGCACCCGACCTTAAAGTGTTTTTTAGCTATTGGGGAAAAAATTCAAAATTTTACGAATTTCATGTTTCAACAGTGAAAAAAAATATATACTCAAGTTGTATTACATGAAATATATTTATAAAATATGAACTTACATAAAATTCCACTTGAGTTGTGCATCAAAAGACATGGAATTTCATTTTTAAAGATGATATCTACCTAGCTATGACATGTTTAATTTTGTTTTGTAGTAGTTCATATCCAAAAGAATACCGTTGGAAAAAATAAAATTAAATTAAACAATAAAATAATTTTCCTACCTACCTACCCTATTTTTTTTTCTGGATGGTAGCAGGAAACAAGACTATTATTTTTTTGGCCTAAGAATATTTGCACTGTCGCGGGTTCAAATCCACTTCAGGGTGTGGAGACCAGTCCTACAGATAAGACATGTTAAGTAAACTGTGGTCCTGTGTCGCAGTAGATGTTGGCACAAAAAAGATACAATGCATCACTGCTCAATGGCCCAGAAAGCCAAGAATAAGTATAAATTTGCAGTCCGCCACTCTCAAATGATGGTGTCTCCATATGAGTAAAAATTCTTCAGAATTAAGGACTTTAAACAACAAACAAACATAGATTAATATGTGCCCTTATACTTTATAGTGCATATAATTGATTTGATTCAGGAAATTATTTGTTCTGTGCATCTTTTTATCATAGTCAGTAGCTATGTGTACATGTATACATAGAGCAATACAACACCACGAATGATTACAAATATTTTAAAGTTATAATTTGCTAGGTTCATTTTGTACAGTATCTGTTGGTCTCCGAAAATTTTTTTTTGGAGAGCTACAGTTTTGCAGCTAGCTGACTGTTAGTGTAAGATATGTTTTATTTCTAAATGAAAGCCTATGCTGAGTAAATTGCTTTTATTATTAATATTTAGGAATATAAATTTATCATTTTATTTTATTCAGGAAATCTGCAGGTAAAATACCAGTAAGATGTCAAAGCTTAAATGGAGCTTTATTTTGGCCGGATGGTACATGTAATTTAAAAATTCTATTTTTCCCTCATCCAACTCATGGAATGGCATCCATCCTATTGTTAGTGCTACCAGGGGGAAAACAGGAATGGTATATAAATGATAGAAGGTACTCATAAATTATACCTAAGTAATACTTCAATGCTTCTAATTTTAATTCTAAAAAAATATATATATATTTCCTTTCATTATCACTAGGTGTATTACAACCTAACACTGGATGTTGAGAAGTTTGGCAGTCCTATACATTCACCATGTTCAAAGTCCGAGAAAATGTTCTGCTGGAAATATGGGGTAACATTCAGCCTGTACACACATAGCCCAGTTATGCTCATGCTTGGAGAATTCTCAAATAAAAAAAATAATTTTGTATGCAGTATCTTCAGAATTTTCACAAACGGTAAGGGTTTTATATTCCTTTGAAAAGTAGATCAATTTTATTTATAAATTAAAAATATTAAAAGACAGTTTAATTTACCGAAAAACAAGTACAGTCTTAATAATGCTATTACTCTATACTAATTGCTACTCATTCATATTCAAAGGGGCTCCAAAAAAATTTTGAAGAGAAAACAAGCTGATGTCCATGTACTCGAAGAATCCCTGGCAAGAGAACTTAGTGAAATGAAAGAATGCACAGACTTAACATTTTAAGATTTGTTGGTACAAAGTGACATTGAAATGGATTTATCTTTCCAAAGCTTGAACTTTTTGCTGTTAAGGATTTTGCTTATTTTTATTTATAGCTGTAAATAAAAACAAAAATTAAAGATTGTATTAAACATTTATACATATTCTTTTCACACTTAAATTTTAGCATACAGGTACAATGTTCTTGGTAACCAATGTTCGTGGATTTCAAGAGTCTGAATACCCCATGAATTCATGTATCCATGAAAATTATTTTTTTAAACATATTGATTGATTTAATCTACATTGTTAAAGAGTTATAATCCACAAAATTTCATACTCAGGCCAAAATAAAATTATAGTTTGTTTAGAATTACCTCCTGCCTCATTGAAATGCCCCCTCCTGAAAACATTTTATTGACCATAAGTAGGAAGATTTTTTTTTATTAAGTCAATATTTTTTGCCCATTACATACAAAACAATGAATATAGTGTCAGATCTATGTAAAATTAGGATTTTTTGTTGATGGTAGATACTTTTTTTAAAAGTCAGAAAATATATTTACTGTTTACTGAGATTTTTATCAAAAATAAAAAAAATTATCTTCAATTTAAAAAAAAACTAATTTCCCTCCCTCCTGTGTCTGAAATGCTTCAGGCGGCAATTCCAAACAAACAATTTTTTAAGGATGTCCTCATGAACAAGTAAAATTTTTCTTGTCCACGAACATTGAACCGCACAAGTTAACGATTTGAATGACTCCACAGAATTCATAATACAAGTACAATCATTTTTAATGTTTTTTTTTTTTCTTTTTAAAGCAAGCAAAAAAAAATCATATAAGTTTTATTTTTTATTTAAAAATAATGAAAAATTGACCCATGTGTCAAAAATACTTAAAAATATGTACTTGTACTCTAAAATTTAAAAAGTATCAGTTCTACATCTTCTAAGCACATCTCACTTTTTATAGCCTGATAGCTTCTTCCAATACGTGTATGAGAAAGAATCATTCAGATTGAGGCTTTGACAGCTTTGAAATGCTTGCATTGAATTTTTCATCTCATTTTTAAGGAAAATATGTATGGCTCTGAGCCTCTGATTTTAAAGAAACATCACAGTGACTGCTAATTATCACTGGGGATACTGGTCGAAACTTTATAAAGCACACTTGAAGCTCAGTCTTTGTATACTTTGGGTCTTGATCGCAGTCCCGGAGCTGTTGCTGGAATTTAGGCCAATACTGAATGTTAAGTTTACTGCATCCTTCTTTAGTCTACTTTTGTCTCCTGTAAACAAATATGTGCAAATATTACTTTTGTTTTGTACAGAGTTAAAGTAAAATATAATCAAAATTTACCTAGGAAAAAGCAAAGACCCTACAAGAACTGATCAAGTGAAGGAAAAATAACTCATTATTCCTGGTGTTAAAATTTAATATATTTGTCTATACCGCGGTATATCTATAATAAATTTTAATATCATGTATAAATTACAGACTTAATGTTCATTTGCTAATGAATCAATTCAAATCTATGGGGACATAAAAACATCATAAACTCCTTTTGTCCTCATTTCAAAAAGAAAACTACCAATGTACATTAAATTTATCAGATTTAATCCTAAACAACAAAATCATGAAGTCTTTTGACATTTAAATCGATTTCAAACTTTTGAAATGATAATGCCATGTGTCAAGCTATTTTGGACACTGTTCATATAAATAAATCAAATGTCGTTTGCCGAAAAAATAAGAAAGGAGTTCACTTTTTCAGCTTAGTTTAAGACAAAATTGTCACAAGGTCGACATTTTAATTTATACTTTGACATATGTGCATTGACATTTTCATTGTTTAATGTATATGATTAATGACATATACTTCGTGAATTACTAATTAGAATATATCAAAATTATTGTTTTACCGAAAATCTAATCCTTCTTATCGCTGTCTCCGAAATTCTGATGACAAGCGACGTCGTGTTTACCATGCAAGCTTCCCTAGTCAGCTGATTTTAATGACCGATTTAGCATCTCTTTTCGTCTGAAACAAATGTCTGGATCTGAAAAAAATGAGTGTCCCAACCTCTACAACATCCTGGCATATCACAGCGAGTTGGCATTCCTTACAAATAAATTAATTTGGAGGTATATTACCAGGAGAAACTTCTGTGTCTCGCCACGCTACCATTTGTTTACACTCAGTCAAGCGCTTGACAAATTCAAACGTTTGCGTAACCACCTCTAATACCGCAGCGCCACCCGACGGTTAATGACGTGAATGCATACTATTAATAATAAGGGACTAAAGTTCCAAAATATATCCTATAAAGCCATATCAAGAGACGCTTATGCCTGGATCAGCGGTTTGTGCAATATTTTTTCATTTGATTTGATTATCAAATGAAATGATTTAAATCTAATTAGAATTTAATTTGTTTTATTGGGATAATTGTGATATAACAATTTGTGCACATACTTTGCTAACTATTTTCAATAGTGCTGGCTTTTCGAAAGTTTGAAATTGTTGAAAAGTTTCATGTCATTATCATCGATATAATGTTAGTGGTTATTATCCTGTTTTGATTTTGAACAAATTAATAGTAAAGTGAATTGGAATTTTAAGAATTTACATGCGTTACCCCTGACTGATAGATGTACATGTACATTGTCAAACGAAGTGTTTCTACATTGATGGAGATTAAAGTACTGTTTGTTTGAAACTAAAAGAATGTCTCTAAAATATGAACATTATTTTAACTATTCTAGGGCCGAATTTTTAAATTATGAGAAGAAAATGATTATTGATTAGAAAATATACGGGAATTTCTTTGATGTATTCTTTATTTAATTTTAAAATCATAACATATCTTTGGGTCAGGACTGTTAACTTCAATAACTGGTAACTAATGGGATATTGTTAATCATAGTTATACAAAATCTATCTGTTCAAGAGCAATGACCAAAAGAAAAAAAATTTATATGTATTAATTTCGGATCAGACAAAGTTCTCGAACAATTAAAGCCAGGCTTTCAGTTCTTTCTCTACTTTAGTTTTATCAGGCCAGCTTTAAAATAATTCGATTTTGACCTCTCCAAACTCAGGGTAAAATAATTGGTTAGGAAGGTTCAAAATAAAGGTGGGGAAATCGTTTTTATAGAAAATGTCAACATATTTGTTGATGGGATAAAAGGAATAAGGAAGAAAAAAAGTATCGTGCCCGGGACTATAAGAAACAGATTTGAGTCAGGCCATTTTTATTTAGTTAGTTTTGGAGTGGTATGAAGAAATCAGGCCCCGAGGTTATGAATTTTTTTGGAGTTCAAAATCATACTCAAACTCAAACTCCGTACCCCAAATTCAAAATCAAACACCAAACTTGAGGTTATGAAAATTATAATATCGTACTCATACTCAAACTCCAATGGAGTACAAACTCAAGATTTTTCAAGTATGCTCCAAACCAATCTCAGAGTCAATCTCAAGTGTCGTGTTTTAGGTTATTTCACTTTATCTACCGGTTTGCATTATCCGTTTGTGCTGGGTCTATCACCATAATTCTTGTTCGCCATATGGATTGCATGCCCATCGTAAATATTTTATGGCTTAAAACGTTATAAAAATTTAATGTTATGTATATGTCCACTGGCTGCAAATTAGAGGTTGTGTCTGTAAAATATATAATGAGGTAGCACTATTTAAATCTATGTAATTGATCATGCTTGTTTAAAAAAAAATTGACAGAACTTACATGAAAAAAAGATACTTGTAACCTAGAACATTGTTTTATTAAGTCTCTGAAACTATTATTCCACATCCGTTCTTCCGTCTTTTTAAATTATGATTTAAAAAAGTGTTTTATTCATCTTGTTAAAAATATATACAAGCTTACACATTTAGATTTTAAAATCATTACAGTGCTGCAGAAAAGTTATCTGACCACTGTACTCGTTGCTACATTTTACCGTAAATATATTAAAAAAAAAACTTAATTATGTGAAACCAATAACTTAATATATATATATATATATATATATATATATATATATATATATATATATATATATATATATATATATATATATATATATTGATTATGCCTCCGGATCGAAAGATTTTGGGGTATATTGTTGTTGTTCTGTCTGTCTGTTGTGAACTTTAACCTAGCCCATAACCATTGCACTGTCAGGGATAAGTATACCACTTCAGTCTACGCCCCACTCCAGAATTGTGTCACCATCGGGGGGATTATAGTGTTTTACAAACACATCTTGTTTTGTGATGAAAATCAGTCTCTTAAAAGCTTATCTATTTGTTAAATTTGTCTATATTTCAAATATACATGTGTGCCATTTATATAAATATGATTATTTTGTTCCTGATGGAATTTTTCTTTATTTACACCAATATGAGTTTAAATGTACTTAGACACAGATTTGAAGTTAATATTTTCTGTATACTACATAGTAATATGACGAATTATATATTTTATTAGCATTTCACACAAAAATTAATTAAAAACCTTATTTCATTTAAAAGTTATTATAACTTCAATTCTTTTTGGCGGGTTTGATTGACACATCCTTGCACTTTCACATATTTTAATTTTATTCTTAATCCTTCAGAAAAATTACAATCTTGTTGTGTTTTAATGAGACATATTAAAAGTTTAATCCAGAAAAATAATTTTATACGGAGTAGTAATGTTAGAAAGCAAAACGCCTTCACAAGTATCGTCATTCCGAGCTAAGTCGTATGTGCAAATCGATCACACTCGAGTTATGTTTTTGTAAACAAGGCAGGAGCTCTGTTTTTGTTGATGTTTTGATTTCATCGGGTGCGTTCAATTGTCAAAGTCTGCTCACCACAACTGCACGGACTGAGAATATATTGTGTGTTTGTTTTGCTTTCGAACATGTCTACTCTGAATTTTCTGGATTATAGTATTGATATTTTTCATTCATACACAACAAGATTGCCACTTTTCATAAGTATTAAGAGTAAAATTACAATTTGTAAAAGTGCAAGGATGTGTCAATCAAACCCGCCAAAAAATTTGAAATTGCAATAACTTTTAAATGAAATAAGATTTTTAATTAATTTTTGTGTGTAATGCTATTAAAATATATAA